ACACACACAATTATTATCTCAACAATCACAGCCAGGGCTCCTTGCTTTACCCCTTGGCATTCAAAGCCTTTATCCCATTGAGCTGTGAATCTTATAAACTTTTCCTGTGTAGTTCGTCTGAATACACTTCAGCAGCTTAAAGACACTCCCATAAACACCCTGAGAAACCTGCTTTTATAGCTTAACAACAAAGAATGTCCACCAAAAGATGTGAGTTCAAGATCATCAAACTTTGGTACATTCCAACAAAGTATATTCCCTAGAGCCTTGAATAAGAAAAAGGCAGGCAAGGCATTTTTACCACCCTCTCCTCACCTGAGAGGCGAAAACAGCTTAGCAAACTGAAGGGAGGAAAAAGAGTAAGGAACAATAGAAATGTTTCTTTTCTCCTCTTACACCCCCTTTTTAAGGGTTACAGGTGAGCCCCTGATTGCAGAGTCCAGTCCTACCTCCTATTTCTGACAAAAATGTTAATTGTGGCTCAGGGTGTGTTAGCACATAAACCCTATCTCTGAACTTTGTCAAATGTACCCAAAGGTTTTCAAAATGAATCTAAACTATTTATACATACTTGTATTAGGCTATAGGAATAATTTTAGCTTCTTCAGGCTTATGTGTACAGAAATTAAAAATTCAGTATGTAACTGAGAAACAATATAGAAGAATATGCAACCACACAGTCACTTCTGTAGTTTTTTTGACAGATTAGTTTAAAAGCAGTTTTTAACAATAACCTATACCTGCACTTCTGTAGCTGAGATCTCCAAGAATTTTGTCTCCAACTTTTCTAAGTTTCCAGTGTTGCCTTAATCTCAAAAGCTCAGAGTTGAAGTCTCTTTGTAGCTTATTTTCTTGATTTTCAGTAACCGATTTAGTCAGTCTTTCTGCCCCCTTCAGTAGGATTTGTGCTGCTCCAGCAAGTGACTTCTTTTTAGATATCAACTGCAATGTCTGAGGGTTCTATCAAAAACAATCCAGAAGTGCAGTTCTGTATTATTTTTAAATGATTTAAAAGTTACACATTTTCTCAATAACAACATACATACTCAAGAAGAGATTTTGAAATTAAAGCAAAGAGAAGAGGGGGAAAACATACATTTTTTTTTTTTTTTCAAAAAAACCACCTTAACCTACTTCTTTGGTCAACTCAAATAAAGACTTATGTTAGCCCAGCCGGGCGTGGCTCAGCGGTTGAGCATCAATCAACCTAGGATCCAGGAGATCACAGTTTGATTCCCGGTCAGGGCACATGCCCAGGTTGTGGGCTTGATCCCCAGTTGGGGGCGTGCAGGAGGCAGCTGATCATTGACTATCTCATCACTGATGTCTCTCTCTCTCCCCCTCTCCCTTCCTCTCTCTGAAATCAATAAAGATATATTAAAAAAAAGAAAA